TTCAAGGCCATTGTGAGTACAACATTCAATTAACTGACATAGCGCATACAGCACACGGCTGGTAGGCTCAGAGTCCTTGTGTGATAAGCAACAGAAACCAACCCTACCTGGTTTATGTGAGAAAAGCTTATTTGTTAGAATGATCATGGACAAGGCCAATAACCATGCTTCAAAACTGTGGGCCTCTGGTTTCCCAGTGGCAGGAAGTCCTGAAAGTTTTCCAGACACAACAATTTCTGTGGATGACTGAACACATTTTTAACCACTTCTGGTTTTCCACAAGGTTAAATTCCCAAGAGAGAGAGGTTTATTTTTCTAGATGAAGACCTGGTTTTATAAAGACTTGGGGAGACTCACCGGATCTGAAGAAAAATGGAGAAAATGTCAGAAAAAAATAGATATCTGCTCCAATGGCACACAGTACTCAGTAAATATCACTCCTTGTGGCTCACCCATTTTAACTGTTCTCTCTTTCTCTCTCTCTCTCTCTCTCTCTCTCTCTCTCTCTGTACAACATAATTTCTAGCCTAATTTAATGTATTTGTGACAATTTGAAACTTTTGCAATATTTTCCTTCCCTCAGAGTGTCCTGTGCCTCATCCTGGACATTTTGTGTGTGCATGTGTATGTGTGGTATATGTTTGCTTTCCTACGTGTGTACACATGAGTGGCGGCCAGAACATAACAAGTGTGGTTCTCCAGGAGCTGTCCACCTTCTTTTTTGAAGACAGGCTTTATTGGCTTGGGACTCACCAAATAGGTTAGGTGGCTGACCAGCAAGTATAGCATCTGCCTGTCTCTACTTCCCTGGTACTCAGATTCTAAGTGCTCCCCACCACACCTGGCTTTTTAAAAACATAGGTTCTGAGGATCCAAACTGAAGTCCTCATGCTTTAGGGAATACACTTTCTTGACTGAGATACCTTAACAACCTTAAAACTAGATACTTTCCAAGGTTCAATAGAGATGTCATCAGGCCTATGTTCTCCTTCTATGCTTCAACTCCTCATCAGCCTGATTGACTTCTAAATGCACATGGTTGGTCTTCCTTCTCATTCTCAACATCAGCCTCCTTCTCTGCCTTAGATCTTCATTTTCAATGATTTTACCTCTCTGTCCACCTCAGCCATCTATTCCTATCTACAGAATCACCAATGCAGACATTATTTCTCTAAACACAGCCAATCCTCTAGGCTTCCAGCTTGATTTCTCAACTATTTCCACTATTATCCATTGTGGTTTGAATCTGAAATGTTCCCTATTGGCCAACATGTTTGAACACTTGGTCTTCAGCTAGTGGCACTATTTTAGCAGGCTCTAAAATCTTTAGGAGGTAGGGGACTGGCTCAGCGGTTAAGAGCACTGACTGCTCTTGCAGAGGACCCAGGTTCAATTCCCAGAACCTACATGGCGGCTATGAACTGTCCTTAACTCCAGTTCCAGGGGAATCTGAAGCCCTCTTCTGACCTCTGTGGCAATGCATGACATGGGTGTACTCACATACGTGCAGGCAATACACCTGTGCTGGATAGCTTTAGTGTCAACTTGACACACCTGGGTTGAGGGAGCCTCAATTGGGGAATTTCCTCTATTGGACTGGCCTGTGGCCATGTCTGAGGGGCATCTTCCTGATGAATGATGTGGGAGGGCCCAGCCCACTGTGGGTGGTGCCACCCCTGGGCAGGTGGGCCTATGTTGCATAAGAAAGCAGGCTGAGCAGGGGCCAGGGGAGCAAGCCAGTAAGCAGCATTCCTCCATGGCCTATGCTCCAGCTCCTGCCTCCAGGTTCCTGCCCTGAGTTCCTACCTTGGGCTCCCGGATGAACTGTGACCCGGGACATGTAAGCTAAATAAACCCTTTCCTCCCCAAGTTGGTAGTGGTCAGAGTATTTTGTCACAGCAATGGAGAAACAAACCAGAACAACACTCATACACATAAAATAAAAAAAATAAATACTTAAAAAAAAAAAGACCAAAAAAAATTTTTTTTGTTTAAAAAAATCTTTAGGAGGTGGAGATTTGCTGGAGAAAGTAGGTCACTGGGGGCAGGCCTTAAGGTTTTATAGTCCTGCCTCTTCCTGCGCTCCTTCCCTCTGCTTCCTGATGGCCAATACAATGCACCCACCTGGTCCCATGCTTCTGCCACTATCCTTTCCTGACTATGATAGGCTGAATCCCCTTGGAACTGTCGGCCAGGATAACTCCTTTCCCCTTTAGGTGGCTTTGGTCAGGTATTTTGCTGCAGCATTGTGTAAACTAAGACATTATCTCTCCCTGCTTGACTGTCTTCCTGACACAGTATGAACTCTGTGGTACCATGATGAAAGTTACTCTCTTACCTATCAGTGAACTTACCTTATTGTTCATTTTTCACACTAGACTAGAAAAAATGACAATCGTGGGTCAAGTGCAAGCTTCCAGGTTCATTCAGGCACAGAACACTTGTGAGGGAAATGATGCAGCTGTTAGCCTCAGTGTAGTCCAGAAACCTACCATGTTTCTCTGGTCAGCTCTATGTGTTTCTGGTCAGCTCCGATTCTCATTCTTTGAATTAACTTGTCCTATTAAAAAGATTTTTAAAAAAAATCCGTGTTCTAGCCAGGTGTGGTAGTGCATGCCTTTGATCCCAGCACTCAGGAGGCAAAGGCAGGCAGATCTCTGAGTCTGAGGCCAGCCTGGTCTACATAGCAAGTTCCAGGTCATCTAGGGCTACATAGGAAGACCCTGTCTCAAAAAGACCAAATATGAAAAAAAAAAAAATCCGTGTCCTGATATTTTGCTCTGAAATATCTCTGAATCAAACTTTCCTTACTGTGATCTTCCCAGTCCAGTCCGCCATAGTCTCCTTTCTATAAGGAGGTCTGTAACCTCGTACGTGGCTTCTATGCACCATTCTTTTCTCCCTTCCATTTGCCCTGGAACATCCAGGATCATCTTTTAAAGTCTGGCTGTGGCCTTTTCTCATTTTGCTTTGGTGATCTCTCAAGTTTTAGACAATGACCTCATGCTTAGAGCATAGGAGAGATGCTAAGCCCCACTGCCTTTGGCACCTGACAAACTGTTTATTATTCATCAATACTCAACTCATAGGTTACTCCTTAGGGAATTCCTTTCTTTAGCCCCCATTGCACACCCCCTATGGTCCCTCCACCAGCATGTTTCTTTGATAGTGTTTGTCACAACTCTAATCACTGCTTCAGCATCTGCTTCCCCACTAGACTATAAGCAGCTTGAGGGGAAGCCCTGCAATCCTCTGTGATTCCCCTAGGCCCTAACAAAGTTATGGAATACAAGGAACGGAAGTCCTGCCTCTGTGGGCAGGCGCCCTCATTGAGCTACCACTAAATATCCCATTGCTGTTCTGAAAAATGAAAGAAATGGAAATACTTTCCTAGTGCTCATGAAATAGATAACACAATTTTTTCAATTTTGCCTTTTCTCTCCAAATGTAAACTCTGTCTTCAAGCCTCACAAATACTAATTGATCTTGTAATTTAACAAATAAGCACTAGTCTAATATTAATAGAAAAACTTGAAAATAGCTGATCATATATAGTTTTAGTGTTTGATTTTGCCTCATTGATGTGAATCTCTGTCTGCAGTATATTTTTAGTTTTAGGGTTCCTTGAAATGGGGTCTTCTTGTGTTATACTGGCTGGTCTCAAAATGGTGGATTGAAGCAACACTCCCACCTCATCCTCCCAAGAAGCCATGCCCAGCTTGCAATTTATCTTAAAATAGTAAGTATACATAGTATATATTTAAATTTTTTTTTCAAAAATATGTGTATGAGTTGTTTTGCCTGCATGTATGGAAGTGTATTACACGTATGCAATACCCACAGCAGCCAGAAGAGGGCTCAGATCCACCTGAAACTGGAGTTAACAGTTGTGAGCTGCCATGTGGGTGCTGAGAACGGAACCTAGGTCTTCTGGTAGAACAGCCAATGCTCTTAATCACTGAGCCATCTCTCCAGCCCCCATAATATGTATTTACTAATATGATTTTACATGTTTATTTTATACAAATTTTTATAATATATGAGATAGGTGTTTTCTAAGATTTTCTTACATAATGAAATTAAATATATTTATATTTTTGTGGTGCCTCACAAAATTTGTGCCTTTCAGGTGCTGTTTTGCTCTATCTGTGAGGCTGGAATGTGTTGCCATTTCTCTGTTATAGTCAGGACGATGAGACAGCCCTATGGAGCGTCAATGTCCAGCACACAAAGTGTTAAGTGCACATCTATTTCTGTTTGATTCAACACTTTATCCATAGCTTCAAAACAAATCCAGAATTGCACATAACTGCAGACTTGCACTCAAAAGGGAAATGAGGGCATGATCGGTGCTAGCAGTGAAATCCACTCTATCATGTTTCTCTGATAACTGGAATGTTGGAAACATATTGAAGAATAATCCTTTACAAGTAAAGGACTTGTCTGAGTTGAACCTTGAGTTTCAAGTGAAAGAAAAATTATATAAACATATCAATCACACTTCAGTTTCTAACTTTCATTCCATTCAAATCAATAATAATGTGTTTGATATATTTTATCTGAGATACAAGAAACAATAAATATTAGAAGAAAAATGGTAGAAAATTACTTTATTAACTGAGAAATCATAATAATGACATAAGGTAAGTTCTTAGTATGATGGCTAGACCACAGTCCTCCCACAATCAGCCCAGGATTCCCCCTGAAGAGGGTGATGCTGCTCGTTAGCCACTGTGAGCTGACAGCATCCTGAGGGGGTGTTCACACAAGATCAGCACATTCATGCTTCTGAATAACTTCATGTCAGTATTATTTTCCCCATTTTTCTGATATAGAAAATTTAACTTAGAGGGTTTGCCCAAGTTCAACCAGCTGCAGTTTAGCCTGGGTTCAAATTTAGGTAATTTAAATCTAGAGTTGAATATAATGCTGTGTCCAATGTTATATAAGGTTACAAAACCTTGTCTAAAACAATTATACACACATTCTCTATATATTTTAATTCTTATTTCAAGGGAGAATACTACTATAAGTTATATAGTCAAGATTTCCACATTTGGGGAAATTTCGGGAGTCAGCATAGTCAGGGTGCAATGGATAAGATTCATCCAGGGAAAACCACCTTCATGACAGTGGTGTCTCCCCTGCCAAGTCTGACTCTGTATTTTGAATGAAAATACATTCATGTCCTCACCTGTTACTGTCTAAGAAAATTCCTTTCTATTTACTCTTCAATAGAAGAGGAAAAGGATACTTCCAATAGGAATTTAGAATTATCCACTTTATCATTTATTTTAAAAGTGGTCTAGGCATTAGTCTAACTAGGCAAATAAATTAAATAATAAATTAAATTTTAATCGATTTGTTTGAGGCAGGGTCTCATGTAATCCAGACTGGCCTCAAACTTGCTGTGTAGCCAAAGACGACCTTGAACTCCAGATCCTCCTGCCTCTTACCTTTCAAGTGCCGGGATTATAGGTGTGCCCTACCACACCTGCAATGTGTTCTTCTTAAAGATAGAATAAGAATTTTAGCTTCCTTTTTTAACTTATTGATTGTATATCTTTTTTACAAATACTTAATACTCAATTCACTAATTTAAGCAAATAATAAATACTACCTGGGGAGGTGCTTGTTTCTTGTTCTTTATAGATTTGACACCACTTTCACTTTTCAGGGGGAGGTATTTGTGTGTGCTCATGTGTATGCATACACGCACCTGTCTATGTGGAAGTCAGAGTGGATACTGGGTGTCTTCTGAAATCACTTTCCATCTTATTTTTCAAGGCAAGGTCTCCCACAGAACCCGGAGCTACTGGATTCAGCTAGACTAATTGGCCAGCGAACTTCAGGGATCCCCCCCCCACACCTGTCTGTCTCATGCTCCCCAGCACTGGAATTATAGGCTAGTGTCCATGTGCTAGGCTTTTTCATGTGGGTACTGGGGACCTGAACTCAGTCTTCATGCTTTTGTATCAAGTACTTTCCTGACTAAGCCATTTCCCTGGGCCTTATTTCAGCTAAAACAATTCATCTGACATTATCAGCTCTTTTTTCTGTTTCTGTAGATATTTATGTTGTATGTTAGATCTGGGACCCACTGCTGATTGCTTAGCAGAACATTTACAGATGTCATGGAGCTCAGCTACTTTAAAAAGAGAGATGTAGTGTATTTTTAAAACAAGAGCTTGTCTTAAACAGAGCACACACTTGGGAGGAGGAGCCAATATGGGTTCATCTGACCTGCTGTGGAGAATCTGCCCAGTGGGTCTCCATCAGTACGTGACCTCCACTCTGAGCCTCAGTGCTGCCATGTTTGGTTGTGGCTGGACTTTAGATCTTTGAGTAGCTGACTCACATAGCAACTTCTCACTGCTCTCTGTGGGGAGCTAATCAACTGACTGACAAACAATCACATTCTGTGTCAGAGCAAAGGGACTGCAGAGTTTGGTCTCTTGAGCAGAGAAGCCCTGGGGAACGAGGGTAGCTGTTTTCTACCAAGTATGTGTTGGTGAATAAATAGAGAAATAGAGTCAACAGGAAGGAGAAATCTGGACCAGAGAACAGAAAAAGTGGGGAGTGTGGTGAGGTGGGAATCCTGAGGCCTCAGAGGGTATTAAGGATGTGGAGGGATGTGTGACTTTCTTCCTCCGGACTACCTAGCCACTAGCTCCAGTTCCCACAAGGGCACCACTTTTTTCTCTCAATGATAGACTAGGCAACAAACCTTCACTATCTGAATCACTTCAGTGGGTTTCTCATCTGCAACCAGGAAATCTTGACTATAATTATAAATGCCTAAAGGCTCTTTCCAGATTTGGATTTATGGGTAGATGGTAGTTGTTCAGAGCTCCTGGAATGATCAGACAGACATTCTGATATAGTGGTTGTAAGGGCAGGCTCGCTGGCTAGACAGGGTAGAAATTCCAGTTTTGCCACCAAGTAGTCTTGTGATCTTGGACTATCTAACATCTCTACTTTGATTTCCTTGTTTTCAAACACAACGGTGGCAATATTTTTCTACAGCAGTTTATTGTGAGGATTAGATACATTCTAACCATATGCATAGTATTTGAGTATCAAAGGAACATTTGCTATTATAGCAAGGTCTTGCTTTTGTCCACATACAACCCCACTCCATAACACACACATACACACACACACGCATGCATTTAAACACAAACATGTAAATACATGTCCTACAATAATGAGCATATACTATAATGTAATAATACATACATACAATAAAATATACATAATATTTTTTCATGGACACATGCGCACACCTGATTATCTGTCCTGACTTTGAGTCTCTGTCCTCCTGTAGCACTCTGTCCATATTGTAGCTTTTGTTTTGTTTTTTTTTGTTTTGTCTTTTTGAAGCATGGTCTCCTTTGTAGCCCCAGCTGTCCTGGAACTCACTATGTAGACCAGGCTGGCCTTGAACTCACAGAGATCTTCCTGCCTCTGCCTCCCAAGTGCTCCACCATGCCTGGCTCATATTGTAGCTTTTTAAAATATATATGTATATTTTATTATTATTTTTATTTTATGTGTAGAAATGTTATGCCTACATGTAGGTAAGTATACCTGTGTTGTGCAATGTCCACGGAGGACAGAAGAGGCTGTAGGATCCCCCGGACCTGTAGTTATGGACAGTTGTTAACTACCATGTGGGCACTGGGATTCGAACCCAGGTCTTCTACAAGAACAGTCAGTGTTCTTAACCACTGAGCCATCTCTCCAGCCCCATATTGTAGCTTTTATTACACTAGAGTATAGTTACTTTTCTCAATACAAGTGGGCTCTACAGTTCAAGTAATTGCCTTTTTTTTTTTTTCTGTTCATTTATCCCCATAGCTTTATGTCTGGTACTAGAGATATTCATGAGCTCACACTAGACTCACATGGTTGGACTACAGGATGCTAGATGACACCTCAGTGTCAGCTTGACATCTCTTCAGCTTAACCCTTGGCTCTCTCTTACATTCCCATGCTCCTAAATAACGTAGTGCTTCATGCTTCTTCATCACTTACTCTGAATGAACTTCAGAGTCCTCTGTGAACACAAGCTTGGCAAGAGGGTAGGGGAGAGACTGGTGGATCTCGATGTCTTGGTGAGCCAGCAAATGAAGCAGGGGAGACTTGCTGCCTTCATGCTTTTGCTTTGGAATAGTTCTTATGGACACGTCTTTTCCCAGCTCAAAGGGTCAGCAGTAACACTTTTTCTTTTGAGACATGGTCTCACTGTACAGCCCAGCCAGGCCTTGAATTTATAATCTTCTTGCCCAGCCTCCCGCATGCTGTGACTGCTGACACGTACCACCGTGCCTAGGCTAAGCAGTATTTTCTTACAACTTGCTCGTGATAGAGTAAAACTGAGTGGTCACATTGCATATTTGCGCTTTGGCTGCGAGAACAAAATAACAGACTGGGTGGCTCGAGCAACACACAAATATTTGTTCCATCACAGTTTGGGAGGCTAGAAGTTTGGATCAAGGTGTCATCAGCATCAGTTTCTGGAGAGGCCTTTGTGTCTGGCTTGTAGACAGCTGCCTTCTCTGTGTCCTTGCATGGCCTTTTCTCAGGAAGGGAGGAGAGGAGGAGGAAGAGGGGGAGAGTGCACTCCTGTGAGCATGCTTCCCTGTGTCTCTTAACCCTTCTTATCAGGACAGCTGTCCTACTGAATAGGGAACTGTCTTGTGACTTTCCGACTTTCCTGTGGAGACATAAAAGAAAGATCTACTTACCCCCAAATAGGGCGGGAGCTGACAGACCAAAGAAAGATTCAGTTAAGTCCAGCTTGACAAAGTAATTTTATTTGAGTCATTTACAGGTGCATGGGTGACTCACAGGCAGGTGCACCACCAAAAGTCCCACCCCAGGTCGTTTTTTTTTAAAAAAAACCTGATATGTTATGAAACTTTTAAAATGTGCATTAGGCAGGAGGAGGAGGTGACTGGAAACTCGGGGGGTGTCTCCTAAGGATCTGTGACCTCTTTCACCAGGAGAACATGTGGACAGCCCCATTACCACAACCATCATCCCAGCTGTTTACTTCATTGCCGTCACTTCCTGTAGGTTATCGTAGCTGCTCTGCTTCAAGATGGCAAGGGTCATGTCAAGACGCCTGGAGGAAACACCTAGGCACCAGAACTTACCCATGCACTCACCAATGACTTCATTAATCTCAATTACTTTCCTAAAGGATCTAACTCCAAATAAGGTCACCGTGGGGGTCAGAACTTCAACATGGGGTGGGGGCCAGTCCGTAACAGATATCAGCCCCAGATTTTGGGAAGTATTTTAAAAATCTGCCCTCAGGGGCTGGAGATATGGCTCAGTGGTTAAGACCACTGACTGCTTTTGCAGAGAGGACCCGGGTTCAATTCCCAGCACCCATATGGTGGCTACGAACCATCCTTAACTCCAGTTCCAGGGGAATCTGAAGTCCTCTTCTGACCTCTGTGGCACTGCACGACACGGGTGCACTCACATACATGCAGGCAATACACTTGTACACATAGAATAAAAATAATAAGTAAAATATTTTTTTTAAAAATCTGGCCTCAGTCTGAACACATGGAGGCCTATTTTAATTACAAGTTTCTGCACAGAGTCCATGTTTTCTACTCACTATGACTATAATCCAAAGCCAAGCTGAGGGCTGGGTCTCTGAAATACAGATGAGAAGCATAAAATGGCTACACAGGTGTCATCTGTAAATACAAAGCCACTACACTGCAGGACAGCCAGTTGTTAAATCCTGGCCTTCTCAGGTGAATTTCAAGAATATGCAGAGCCCACGTGTGGTGAAGGCTGCCATCCAGAGGCCACCGTGGTGGTACAGCATCTGAGAGCCACACTGGACTCTGGGATCTAACTTGTCAGTCTGAGCATGTGCAAGGCCAGGTGGAGAAGTCTCACTTTGGTCTGGAAAACACTCAAGTGAATTGAGAGCCAGAGGGGCGGGGGAGGGGGGGCAGGAGGTTGGGGGATGCAGGTGAAGGGGCCAGAGGACTGGCCAGCTTCAGAACTAATTTGAGAATATTGAATTCTCTTACACACAGCTTGAGCAACATGCCACACTTGAGATCTGGTCTTAAGCACGCAGGGTTACGTTCAAAGCACTGGAAAATTTTGTGCATGTGAAAAAAAG